ATCATCATAGAAGATTATTAGATACCATTCCTGCTATTTGGTCAGCTGCAAGATGAGTTATCAAACCCTGCACTCTTATCTCTTCTTAGCAAAGAACGGGCATTGTGAATGTTTAAAAGAACTTGGAAATGTCCATAACAAATGGACTTGGGCTTTTCCCTATGGAACACTCGTTGAGAGTTTAAGAACCTTTATCTTTTAAAGATTGGTCCCAACTCCCACCAAATTTTCGGTTTAAATTAGCTAGAGCACAAAGTTTAGAAAATTTTGAACAGTTAAGCTTGTTGGAAAATATCAGAGGACAGAATATAGAAATATTCATGTTCGTTAGTAACCAACCTACTTCTGGAGTGCAGGTGGAAGTTTGGAACTGATTACCTTGTGGGTTTATTGTTCTCCTAGATGCGCATTGCACCGTTTGGTGGTGCTCACCTGCTGAAGCCTTCCAACTTGTTAATGTAATACTATAAATGGATCTCTAATTACTAATACAACATTCATTTCTTCAGCATTTATCTCTTTTTATGTTTAGTTACAAATTATTCACTTCAATTTTACAATTTTAGCTTAGTCTTTAAGTTTTACTTTTGTAAATTGAGTTAATCACCTATATATTGGTAGTGTATAAGTGATTAACTCTTTTAAATTACCCATCTGAAATACAACATTCCTAATGTATACTTTTTTAATCATAAATGGATCTCTAGTTACTAATACAACATTCCTAAAGTGAAGATACGATTTACAAATTATTCACTTCAATTTTACACTTTTAGCAAATTACTCCTAAACTTTTATTTTGTAAATTACCCATCTCATCTGAGATACAACATTCCTAAAATTTCAATTTAAGCATTTAGTTGTATACTATTTTCATCATAAATGGATCTCTAATTACTAATACAACATTTCTTCAGAATTTATGTTTTTTATGTTAAATTGTGAATTATTCACTTCAATTTTACATTTTTAGCAAATTTCTCCTATTGTTTATCTGGGGAAAAAGTGGTGGATGAATAAATGATAAAAGTTCACGCAAGTAAATTATCAAAATTAAAACTTTAAGGAGGTAATTTTCCAAAAGTCTTAAAGTTAAAACAGGTACCTTCATTGCTAAAAAATGAAAATCCAGATATTCTATTTGAAACGCAACCTGCAAGGCACATGTTTGTACATTGAAGTTTGCTGACATTACGTTTTGTCTTGAGTTTTATCTTGTGTAAAAATAATCTTAAACTATTTCTGAATTAAAAACCTTTCTTAATTTATCCTTTATTGTTTTTGTTTTGGTGTACATTTGTCCCTTTATTTTTGTTATAGTTATATGAATTTTTTTTAGGAACATGACAGTTGCAAGTATATTGCAGAGATGATGCGTAAGGCTGGAATTGGAGGGAAGATTACATCTCCAAAGGATCGCAAATTTTATGGTGATTGATCGATTAGTATAAGATTTCCTATTCAACGTGACATTTCCTTTCAGGGAGAAGAAAGTGTTTTTCCTTTGAAGTTGTTATGTAATCTTACAACGTCATCAAATTAGATGCTGCAACAAGAGATGGAAATAATTGCTCAGCAGAAAAATGATAAATTAGCAGTATATTGATTTCCTTCTCTTTGAATATTTTGTCAATTGAATGTAATATAGCGGGATATGCATATAGTGTACTGAGTAATGTATAAAATATATCATTTCTTAATGAAAAAAAAAAAAAAAAGCAAAGAAAATTTAATCCGAGTACTAGAATTGAGTACAAAATAATGTGTGCTTACCATTAATTTACTAATTTATTTTGGCTGAATAGAATTCTTTGAGATCATTTATACTTATTGTAAAGGGAATATAATTTGGGAACTACTCATTTCATCTCCACTTTTTAGTGAACATTATACCCCTTCAAATGTAATAAAAAAAAATCTTTTTATATTCTTTTTAAATAATTATCTATAATTTTTAATATTTATCTGTGTATAATTATTAGAGACACGAAATTTCTCAGTCTTTTTAATAATTATAAATGTAATTGTTTAACAGGTGTAACTCCTCCCTATAAGAGGATAGGTTTAAAATAAGGTAAATATGTCTGATTTGCAAACTAACATAAGGTGCTAGCATTCCTTTTCTTCACCCGCTAAATAAATAAGAATGCCACTATATCTTGTAAATTATTATAAGATGTATTCTTTAGGTATTTTCATAACTAAAAACTTTTTTCATAAATGCATGTGTGAGGTCGGATTGAAACTAAATCTTCGGCGAAATAAAATGCATTCTATTTCATTCCATCAAAGTCAACTTAGGACTTTGAATGCAATATTTTTTAAGTCCCAGTGCGTGCATGTGATATGCACATTTGAATGGCCAAAAGCCACATTCCTGTGAATCATATGGAAACCACTGTTAACAGACAAGAATCAGAGGAAAAAATTCCGACTCCTTAAGCAGGGAAGGGGAGTGGAATGTCCTGGCAGTGCCGTTCACATGTAAAATACAAAGGAACGTCAAATTTGGACTTTGAATTCAATTAAATGAGGGTTAAATCACATGGAAACAGAAAAATAATTTCCTGATACCATATTTACTTTCATACTTGGGAGGAAAAAAACGTGAGAATGTGCTAGACACACGACACCTTTGACTTATAATTTCGAATTAGAAGAGACTATCTATAAGGACATTATTGCTTTGGGTAACGAAGTAGTAAGGGGTTGTTTGCCTTTGAATTGCGATGTTATTTGCGGGTTATCCTTTGATTTGATTGTGCTTACCAAATTAACCACAATTTATGATATTGGACCCTTCTTGCCTTGATTTTTCATGAAAAAAATATCACATTTATGTTCTTTTTGTTCCCCTGATATAATGGTAGGGATCTTTTGCGATCTACAAATCCCGTTTCATATTGGTTGTTGGGGTCAAAAGAATAGCAAAAGATGCACTTTTTTCCTGATAATTTTTAATTGCACTGTTTTGATCAAAGTTTTCAGCAAGACCCCCAAACAGCGAAAGAGTG